TATCAGCTTCTGACCTCTCCTTCCCCTACTTTATTATGTTCCTATTGGCCACACACATAAACAGACTGTTACCACAATCAAACATGTTACCATAAGTTTCAAAGACACCTTACATACAACCATAAATAAGATTTTAAGCTTCTAATGCATCCTCATCTTCTGATGAAGGTCACTTTAGAGACCAGTGAGAAACTTCTTAACTAAATTATATCAGTGAAATCTCAAAGGATCTAAGTTTTTAACATTTTAATTAGCTCCAGATACCAGTTAATGCCGACACCGTTAACTGATAAGCATCCGCTTATCGGTTAAATGGTCAAAACAGTTACACTCAAGCATCCCTATTTTGCACCCATTTTTAAAAATATGTTTTAGCCCATAGATTTTGTCCTGTCCCACTGCCCCAGGGCATTGTATGACCATGAATCATTTGTTAATGGCAAATGCAACTTTGCTCTTTTCCATGAGGGTATGTCTACACTACCACCCTAGTTCGAACTAGGGTGGTAGTGTAGACATACCCTGAGAGTTTTGCCACTAAATTCAATGGAAGTAGTAGTAGGCCCTATATATTATATGTTGTTTTTGAATTTTTTCCATCATTGATTTGATATCATTGACCAAAACTCAATAAAATTCAGTGGAAGACTGAACTTGTTGCAGCAGATAAAACAGAACAGCTGAGGTATAAAACCAAAGCTTTGGCAAATGACATCAAGGTATACATTTAAAAGCAAGGGATTGTCATAGTAGATTTAACCCTTATCATGCTTTCTATTATGCATCTGGAACCTAATCAAATTTACCATAATATAAATAATAGGTATCCAATTTTAAAATGCATCTCTTTTTAATAGTCTCAGAGGGATAACCATGTTAGTCTGTAACTTTAAAAACAACAAGCGGTTGAGACTAACAAATATATATATAGTATCATATATAGAGAAATATATACATCATAGATATATTTATATGGGCTTTGAGTGTCCACTCAAGCACATCTGAGGAAGTGGGTTTTGCTCACGAAAGCTTACAATAATATACTACTTGCTGTTCTCTTTTTAATATATTGGTCTTGCATTAAACAACAGGCATTTAATAAAAAAATATTTCATTAGCCTGAGTCAAATACAGTGCAAACACTTTTCCTAAAATGCTCCATTTGGGAGGGTAAAAATCGTGCATCTGTATTCAAATCAATTTCCTACCAATATGTCTTACTCAGAAAGCAAAACATGTGAATGGGTTACTAGTATAAGTATATATGAAAATCCTCCAGCTTAGGCATTTCCAATTTGTCTGATTTGTAAACTAGGGTGGGCAATAATTTTTGATGAAGGCCACTCCAAGATTTTGGTAAGTGGTCAAGGGCTGCACTTTTCTATGGAGGGAATGTGGGGTCCAGGACGGAGGTTGGATGCAGATGGTTGCTCAGGGCAGGGGACTGGAGTGAAGGAGAAGGTGTAGGTTTTGAGAGGAAGTTTGGGTGAAGAAAGGGGTTCTGACCTAAGGCAGGCAATTGGCATGCAGGATCCAGGAATGGGTTTGAGTGCAGGAGAGGATTCTGACCGGAGAGAAGGGTGTAGGTGTGATGTAGTGGGGGTACTATCTGTTCTGTAACCTGTTGTCCCCCCCTTGCACTGTGGTGTGTGATTTCCACTGACTCACCCACATGTGTATTAGCCCAGACACCTGATAACAGGCTCTTTCCCCAGGGGAGAGACAAAGGAAGGGAGGCAGAGACGAAAACCTGGTTTGGGGGCAGGGTCCAGGAGGGAGGCAGTCTGGGGCTAGAACCATGTTTTCTGGGGCTGGAACCATGAAGGAGACAGACTAAGGAGGGGGCTGGAATCTAGGGGGCCCAGGGCACCCCATCTCAAGGGGGCTGAGGCATCCTGGCCCAGACTCTTGTAGACACATCGCGTCTATGCTGTGCTATATCCTGGAGAGAAGCAATAAACCCTCTCTATTCTACTGGCTGGTGGAATCTGTTCTTGCTGCTACGGGGCTGCAGGATTGGAGGAACCCCAACTCGCCGTCACAGTAGGAAAGGACTGCAGCATCTGGGAAGGAATTGTGATCTGGGGAAAAGGGGGAAGAGAGGGTTTGGGTGGTGACCTGGGGCACAGAATTGGGGTGCAGAGTCCAGGAAGTGATTTGGGGGCAGGAGAGGAGGAGCCTGGAGGAGGGATGTGGGAGAGGGTGCAGCATCTGGGAGGGAGTTGTGACCTGTAGTGGGGAGTTGGGGAGCAGGAGCAGCTGAAGCATCAGAGGCAGGCTCTGGCCAGAAGGTCTTTACCTAGATAGCTTCTGGCCACCAGCCTTGCCTGACCCCGAGACAGGCTCTCTGCCTGCCACACTCCTAGGTTGCTCAAAACGTCCATCTGCTCCCTCAACGTGCCTCTGCATTGCACGCCCCTTAGGGAGAGGCAATCATCGCAGCTCCCACTGGCCAGTTTCCGGCCAGTGGGATCTATGACGATTAGGCTGGGAGGTATACAGTTTCCCCTCTTCCCCAACCAGGATGAATTCTGCCCACCTCTGATGTAAACTGTTATTCAAATTAAATACAGACATACAATGGAAAAGTTAACATCTATACATATGCTAGAACTTCCTCAAGAATCCTCCATCTATTATGCTAAAGCTTCCTCAAGAATCCTATCACCCATTAGGATGCTCATTTATAAATTGCACATACTGACAATGTGATTAAATTTAACTGAACCTGTTTTCCCTCCTTTGTAAATAACACCTACATCATGCAAGCCCTGATTCTTACTATGGGTTGCAACATTTAAATAAATGGCATTTTAGTAAATGGCATATCTACAGATGAGCATGCAAAACCAAAGCAAACACTTTTTATAAAGTACTTTTAAACTGTCTACCCAATATTAGGTACTACTAACTTTTTAAAAATGATCTTCAAAAGCAAAAGTCTAACTATACGTGAAGTGTTTTCACGTGCACAAACAATCTGGAAAATGATTTTTCTTCTATGTCTTTAACCTACACTAATCAGAGGTATCATTTGTAAAAACTCTAAATAGAATTTTTTCAGATATATGTGATTTTTCAATTGATGTTGTCTCTATATGCTCTACCATACCAGGAAAAAAATGCCAAACAAATATTCAGAGAAGTCACCCTTTAAGTAATTCCACTATGAAGTTAACTTTACAAGGAAAATGTTTGTGGGGGGGGGGGGGGGGGGTGATGTGGGAGAGGGGAGAATGAAGGACGGAAAATTTTGATTTTTTCTTGAAAAAGTAGTAGTAATTCTATAGTTGAACTCTGAGTATTTGCATCTATGTATTTTTGGCCTACTACTATAAGATGCAAAAGCTAAACTTCCTATAACTGAAAAAAAAATGTATTTTTCTATTGTTTTCAGTTTGTTTTGTTCATTTGACAGTATTCTGTGTATAGACTTCTTACTATTTCCTTGGTGTTTAGTTAATTTTCACTGTCTATGTGAGAGACAAGGTGTGTGAGGTGATATATTTTATTCGGCTAACTTCTGTTGGTGAGCCATGCAAGCTTTCCAGCTCGCACTGAGAGCTCTCTTTCAAGTCAGGCTGAGTTTTCCATAGGAGACAGAAAGAGGACTTTTCCAAATTTAGAAAATGCCTCTGCAAAACCACAAACATTGACAGAGTACTGATTACTTTTAACTCATTTTTAACTGCCTAGATTTCAAGATGACAGTCTCAATGGAAGCACATCAAGCTATGCACACCAAGACAATTCTTCAAGCAGCTAATGAAGCAGGGCATTTTATTAAGACTGCATCAGGGTCACTGTGATCTCAAAGGCCATTCCAAGCCTTCCTTTAAGCCACGCGCCTCTAGCATTAGAGAAAGTGACATGGGACAACAGAGAAACGGCACTCTTACAGAACCCCTCTCCCAGCCAGCAGAAAGGCCTCCTGCCCCGCAAGTACACAGTGGAGGCAGCCTGGATCACTCTCAAATTAGCAAACATCAGCTACCGGTTCAGCCAGCAGCAGGTGCTGGGGCCCGGCCAGTCACGCAACAAGAGGAGTCTTACCAGAGCTTTTCAGAAAGCTCATTGGACTCCCAAGCTTCCTACGTTTACTATTTAAGTGGCGCACCGCGCACGCCAGGCAGAGAGCACCTGGCAAATGTCACTCCAGGGAAGAGGAAGGTGCACGGCGAGGAACTGCAAATGGTTGAGAGACCCTGGAGTCCAAGATCTCTTCCGAGTATTTGCTTCCTCTGCATTTCCAATGCAGAAAAGCACGGGCCCTCCCCTGCTGGCCTTCCCCCGGCTAGTGCACTGAAGAGCCCACTGCCTGGGAATGAGGGGGAGAGCACCTGGCAAATGTCACTCCAGGGAAGAGGAAGGTGCACGGCGAGGAACTGCAAATGGTTGAGAGACCCTGGAGTCCAAGATCTCTTCCGAGTATTTGCTTCCTCTGCATTTCCAATGCAGAAAAGCACGGGCCCTCCCCTGCTGGCCTTCCCCCGGCTAGTGCACTGAAGAGCCCACTGCCTGGGAATGAGGGGCTGGGATCACAGTGCCCACGGCCACACCGCACTAAAACGCTGCGAGCAGCCAGTTGCTCTAATTCCAGGCTGGGGCGCCT